TTTCTATCTAACCCTGTCTGTCTGTCTATATATCTATAAAGTACCAAAGGACCCATACCTTTCTATGTGACTTTAAAATGTGTCGACGTCACGTGTCGCTCCACGTTCAATACCCAAAAAAACATGGTGCTTAACGTTAGCATTAGCTGTTTTGCATAGTCTAATGATATTTTGGTGAAGATAATCAGTGGTCAACTATGTCAGAAAATTAAGCAACTACAGCTGATCTGTAGTATCTACAGGCCTGCCTCTGTACCATGCCCTGTGCCCAGTCTGAACTCGCACTTCAAATTATATTTTGCTTTCGCTTTGATTCACACGCGTTGTGTTTTGTCCTTGGCCCATATTTCCTTTGTATAAAATGGACTGTGTTCGGTGTGGTTAGCTCAGTTTTAAACATGAGTGTAACTGTATACATTGACGAAGAGACCAAAAAGTGTGTGTGCTGGAGTGTCGGGTTTATAATTTTGATAGTAGGCTGTCTGACATTCGGAGCACGTTGTCTGCACGCCGAGGATCGACTGAAGAACAAGGTACTTGTATTAGTATGGTGTTGGTCACCACCAGAATAACTACATGTTAACAACATTGTCAAGAAATCTGGGCAGTTAGAAGCACCGGAATGCAACACATAGGTGTTTCGGTTCAGCTTTGCTGAATAAAACAAACTTTAAAGGTGTGTTTGCTATGACAGTTTTACACTTTAGTATCCGCTTACAGTACCATAAGCAGATACTATGCAATATGTTATGGTAAAGAGTATATCTATCGATTTAAACCTACCTTAAAAAGTCATAGTACAAACATTTCTGATATGACGTCCTATATAAACCAAAGGTTCTCTAGTATTCTATAGGAAATATGCTTAAAATAAGAAACCTACAGATACGTTTGATCCTATAGAATCCCATGGACCCATGTAGGATTCCTGTAGAATCCCGCAGAATTCATATTAAGTCCCATGCTACGGTATAAGACATAAGTAAGTGTTGCTTTTATACATGTATAACGGGTTTTCAGTAAAAATAAAGTGTATATAACTCAAAGACTGCCCCTGTAAACCATGTTCAAAAGCCCGCTTGAACATTTTATGTCATTTTTGCAGGACTGCCAGTGGGTTGTCAGCGATGCTGCTGCGGTCGTCTTGATTATCGTTGGTAGTTTGGCCATCATCCTTTTCTGTCTTTGCTGCGGATGTTGCTTGCTCCACTCAGAGAATTCCCAAGAATCTTCACGCCTGGTCAGTGCTTAGAACTCCACGGAAACTTCATACCACAGCTACCACTGACACTTAGATCAAACAACCACGATTTTCTAGGACAATGCAATTTAAATTGATAGGTAGAGGGCGCACCTCCTGATTACGCGGCCACTCATTGGACCTCCCCAACTCGCATCGTCCTAGGCCAGATCCACGTCATTAGACACGTTACATGTAACAATAATAGAGCAGGAAAAAACAATGAGCAGAAGGTTCAGAAGTCGGACTAGTGCCACTATTTAATTAAATTACGGCTGCATGGGACAAAATGTTATTTCAGTTATTTCGACCAGCAGAAATATATGTGAATTTACAATCTTTACAATGACTTCAACAGGGCTATTCAAAGGGTCTTTATTATAGTATTTCTTTACATTTAAACCAGAAATTATAGAATTGCCTACTTGTAATCCCTTAAAACAATACTCGAAGAAAGGTGTTAATTTTTTATCTGCCATTCACATGCCTGTTACTTGCGCTTTATACATTCATTAGAATTGAATAAAAACGCACCTCTAGCTATTATGAGCTTTTGGGTTTTTTTTTCATAATTTCTTGCTATCACGAGCTTTAAACCTAATATTTTACATCTAATTCAGGTTAATTTTCAATTAGGTTAATTTTAAATCTGATGTTTATGCACCACATCACAGTAATTCAGTGTTTGAAATGATGAGAATAAGTATAAACTTGATTAAATATAATTCCATGTTTATAATGACGAGTTTCTCTTTTAGTAGGAATGCAAAAGGGATGATGCTTTTAATCATGCTATCTTTGATATAAAAATGTGTACGGTGTTTTATCAAAGAAATTACGGTTTGCCATTCACTTAAATAAAAAAAAAATGTTCATCTAGTCAAAATTTCTCGTATTTCGTATAGTGTACATCTATTCAGAGAGGTAAATCAAAGAAATCAAATCTGTTGAAGCTTAAAGGTTTCTTAAGAACTAGAACCTTGGGAGGTGTCGTCACATTTATCACTCTCTTCAACCGACCCCTTAACTATTCACTTTTTCTACCTTTCCGTCTCTCTGTCTGTCTGTTTGTCTTTCCGTCCACCTATCTATCTATAGAATTTTCTATCTATCTATAAATGTACATACAGGTACATACCAATCAATATCTTTCTATGTGGGTTTAGAATGTGTCGATGTCACGTGTCGCTTTAAGATCAATGCCAATAAAACATGGTGTACTTCTCAGTATTTGCTGTTTGGCATCGTTCAGTGATAATTTGATCAAGATAATCAGTGGTTCTCCATGTCGTAAAATGCAGCCAACTACATCGAATCTGTAGTATCTATACCACGCCTTGTGACCATCGTAAACGTACTTAATCAAAGTATATTTTTACTTAATTTCTACGATACTTTCGCTTTGATTCACATGCGTTGTGTTTTGACGTTGGCCCCTATTCCCTTGGTATAAAATCGATTGTGTTAAGTGTGGTGAGTTCAGTTTTAAAAATGGAAGCACCATTATATACACAAATAGACAAAGACACCAAAGGTTGTGTGTGCTGGAGTGTCGGGTTTATAATTGTTATAGTCTGCTGTCTGGCAATCGGAACACAGTGTCAGACAGACGCGAAACGACTGAATAACAAGGTACGTGTACTACGGTAGTACGGTGTGGGTCGCCAAGAAGAATATTTCTTCTCAAAAATTTACGATCGATTGATAGAATATAACTACATGTTAACAACATATTGTGTATAAATCTCAGCAGTTCAAAGCACTGAAATACAAGATATATGCCTTTTGGTTCAGACTTTCCGAATAAAACTTTTACGTGGTGTTTGCTATGGTAATCTTACTCTTTTGGATTCGCTTTAAGTATGTCGGAGTAAATACTATGCATTGTGTTTTAGTAAGGAGTGGATCTATCGATTTTCTCTATACCCTGAAAAGTTTCGATGCGAAAATTTCCGATAGGACGTCCTATATAAATTGACCAAAAGTTCTCAAAAGTTCTATAGGAAATATGCCCAAAATTAGAAAACTATAGTACGTCAGATAATATAGAACCCCATGTACCCATGTAAGATCCCTGTAGTCCCGTAGAATTCCTATTAAGTCCCATGAGACATTCCGTCGGGGTTACTGTAATATAACGTATTAAGATGCAATGAATAACACCAATTCTGCACCTGCAAATGGTTATAGCACAACTATATTCGGAAGCCCGCTTGAACATTTTTGTGTCTTTTTTTTTGCAGGAGGCGTGCAATTGGATTGTCAGCGATGCTGCTGCGGTCGTTCTGATAATTGTCGGTGTCTTGGCCATCATCCTCCTCTGCTGTTTTTGCTGCGTATATTGCTATCTAAAATCTAAGAAAGACAACAAAGAAACTTCACCTAGGGAAGATCAACGTTATTAGACATGTTACCTGTACCAATGGTAAACCCGGTGCTCTTGGTAAACCAGGAATATTAGCAACGAACAGAAGGCTTAAAAGACGGACTAGTGCTTATGTCAGATTAAGTATGAATATTTTCCCTTGGACAAGAAAAACAAAACGACCAGAAGTGTTAGATTTAATTCAATTACGGCTGCATGGGACACAACTTTTATCAGATATTTCAACCAGCAGATATGAATTTGCTATGTTCCCATTGACTTCAGTGCGGTTATCTAAATGTGTGCCTTACGTCTTTATTATAGTCTTTCATTAAATTTAAATAAGAAATTATAAAATTGCTCGCTTTTAATTTCTGAAAACAATACTAAATAAGAAAGGGTGTTAATTTTTTATCTGCCAATTCACATGCCTGTTACTTGCGCTTTATACATTCATTAGAATTGAATAAAAATGCTACTCTAGCTACCGCGAGCTTTTGAGTTTTTTCTTAATTTCTTGCTATCACAAGCTTTACACCTAATATTTCAGGTTAATTTTCAATTGGGTAAATTTTAAACCTGATGTTAATGCACCATATCACAGTAGTTCAGTGTTTGAAATGATGAGAATAAGAATGAGAATCAGTAAGTATAAACTTAACTAAATGTAATTCTATGTTTATAATGACGAGTTTCTCTTTTAGTAGAAATGCTAAATGGATGGTGATTTTCATCATGCTATCTTTGATATAAAATGTGTACAGTGTTTTATCAAAGAAATTACGGTCCGCCATTCACTTCAATAAAAACTGTTCATCTAGTCAAAATTATTATTTTTTGTATAGTGTACATTTATTCAGAGAAGGAAATCAAAGAATTCAAATTTGTTGAAGCTTGAAGGTGTCTTTAAAAGAACTAGAACCTTGGGAGGTGTCGTCACATCAGTACTCTCTTTAACCGACCCCTAAATCATTTACTTTTTCTACCTATCTGTCTCTCTGTCTGTCTGTTTGTCTGTCCGTCCATCTGTCTATCTATCGATTTATCTATCTATCTATAAATGTACATACATACCAATCAATATCTTTCTATGTGGGTTTAGAATGTGTCGATGTCGCGTGTCGCTCCAAGATCAATGCAATAAAACATGGTGTAGGGGCCTACTGCTTGGTATTTGCTGTTTGGCATAGTTCAGTGATATTTTGATTAAGATAATTAGTGGCTCGAGATGGCATAAAATGCAACCACTACAGGGGATCTGTAGAATCTATGCCATGTGCTGTGTCCAATGTAAATGTACATAAACTATATTTTTATTCTATATCTACGATACTTTCGCTTTCATTCACATGCGTTGTGTTTTGTCCTTGACCCATTTCCCTTTGTAAACAAAATTGGCTGTGTTCATTGTGATAAGTTTCAGACATGGGTGAAAAGGGAACTCTGTGTTGTGGATGTTGTGTATTGCTGTCAATCGTAGCTCTAGCAGTCTGTGGTCTTACATTCGGAATACTGTGTCTGAAGGCCGAGGATCGACTTGAGAACAAGGTACGTGTACTAGTATGGTGTTGGTTACCACCACAATACATGACCTACTTCTCAAACGGGAACGATCGACGGGTAAAAAAAAAACTACGTACGTACGTGTTACAACTGTAGCTACTTTATTGAGACAGCTGTAGATAATGAGCTACGTGTAACACGTACTGAATTTCAACATCTGGGCCATTCGGTTCAGATCGATCGAACTAAAACCCCCGTTACATTGGACGGCGAATTTCTGCGTTCTTTGTGCGACCATGACACTGGCATCGCCGTGGTCATAAAAAGAAGACAAGCAATGGTGAAACGAAATGAATGGTCAATGATAGGCCAGTTGTCGGGACGTATAGTATTATTGCTTTTATTTTTTTACTCTCAAACAGGGCCATATTACAGGGCGCAGAAAGGGCCACAGATTTTGTAATTTAAATATTGTATAACGCCCACTGAGTGTCTGATCAGTGCAACAGCATTTTCATATTCAAAAACCCGCATGAACATTTTTTTTTTTTTTTTTTTTTTTGCAGGCATGTCAAGGTGTTGTCACCGATGCTGCTGCGATCACCCTCATTGTCTTCGGTGGTCTGGCCACCCTCCTCTGCTGCTGTTGTTGCTGTTACGCATGCCTGAGCAGAGATGAGACCTCCCAAGAGACGTCATCCCCGGTAGAGGCCGCACCTCCTGATTACAACGCCACCCAATGGAGCAGCTCGTCTTATTTGACCGCCCCAACACACACCGTCATACGCCAAATCCACGTTATCAGACACGTTACTATTGGTAGACTAAGCCTTAGGAATATAAACAACGAATAGAAGGTTCAATAATCAATGTACTTATGACGTTATTTCGAGTATGGGTATTTTTTTTCCTTGAACAGAGAAGAAAGATACAACCGTGTTACATAATAATCAATTACAGCTGCAAGGAACTAAATGTTTATCATTTACATCGACCAGGAATAGCATATGAATTTGCAATCATCACTCACTTCAACACGGCTACGCAAAAGCGCTTCTCATGTCTTTATCACATACTTTCATTGTACTAGAATTTAAATAATGAATTTAAGAAAGCATGCTTGTAATACCTGAAAACGTCAGTAGATAAGAAACTGGGTTAATTTTCTATCTGCCAATTCACACCCACGTTACGTTTACTTTATTCAATCATGAGAATTAGATAAAAACAATGCGTGCAAATTAATGTTTGGAGTTTTACGTAATTTCTTGCTAAATAAGCTTCTGCAATTTTAAAAATAATTTATAGCTTTCATGAGCTTTTTTTATGTTTTTGTTTTCATAATTTATTTATGTCAAAGCTCAAAAGCTGACACCTTACATGTAATTTAGCTTAAGTTTCATTTGGTCAAATTTAAACCTGCAATTCAGTGTTTGAAATGATGAGAATAAGTAAAAACTTAACTAGATGTGAATGCACTTTTTAACAGCAATTCCATGTTTATATTGATGGGTACCAGTGACATACTGTACTAGTGATATTTACCCTAAAGTGAAAGCACTTTATTTATACCCGGTCTGTGATGTTTTACCATATCTGTCGTTACGTTACAATAAAGGAATGTTGTATTGTAGAAAAGGAGTAATTTCTTGTGTGAGGAAACCAACTGGAATTAGAAATAAGCTCAGAAGGATGTTTGATCTTATTAATTTTCACCGTCGACATTGTTTAATAGTTTTTTTTTTTCTTTAAAAGATACAGTTGCAATGATTTTGTTCAATAAAGGTTAAACCAAGGGTGCAATCAATGTGGTTTTTTTTATTCAAGCACACCTCCATTTCTATTGTGACTCTATACGAGTCGTTATGAAAGTCAGTAACATTTTTTAGTCATGTGTCTGGTAAAGTCCACCACAGCAGATCTATAGAATCTATACCATGTAATGTGACCAATGTGAACTCACCTAATTAAACTATATTTTTACTCTATTTCTACGATACTTTCACCTTCATTTACGTGCGTTGTGTTTTGCCCTTGGTCCATTTTCCCTTCGTATAAAAATCGATTATGGTCGTTGTGATTATAGATCAATATCAAACATGGGTGAAAACAGAGGTGGATGCTGTGCTTGCTGTTATTTTTTGGGAATCGTAGCTCTAGCAGTCTGTGGTCTGACATTCGGCATAATGTGTCTGAAGGCCGAGGATCGACTTTAGAACAAGGTACGTGTACTAGTACGGTGTTGGTCACCACCAGAATATTACTTCCCAAAAATTTACTATCGATGGATCAAAGAACTTCATGTTTACAACATTATTGATAGATATGAGCTGTAATGCTCATTTAAATGTATCATATAGGTCTTCCGGTTCAGATTGCCTGAACAAAAAATATTTAAGGTATATTTTGCCATGGTAGTTTTAATTAAATTCACACCAAAGACATTTTCCTCCTCCTCCCTTTAATGTTCTGTGGTTTCTTTTGGAACTCATCTTGGTCTTTATTGTATATCTTTTATTATATCCCCTTTGCTTTTATCAATCTTGTGGAGGTCTGTGCTTTCAAACTCATTTTGATCTTTTGTATATCATTTTTATGTAAATACATGTGTTTTAAGTTGTAATTTTTATTCTAGTCCAATTTATGTACAACTTCAAACTTCTGGCTGCTATGTAGCCTACATGTATTTATAAACTGTTTTTTATTATTATTATTGGGATATAGCACAATTATATTCGAAAGCCCGCTTGAACACCTTTGTGTTATTTTTGCAGGCGTGCCAGGGCGTTGTAAGCGATGGTGCCGCAATCACCCTTATTGTCTTCGGTGGTGTGGCCATTCTCATTTGTTGCTGTTCCCCCGCTTGCCACAACAGAAACGAGAACTCCAAGCAGACTAGATCCCGGACCGAGAGCCCTTCTCCTGATTACGAGGCCACCCACTGGGGCAGTTCGGCTAATTTGACGTCACCAACTCGCAACGTTAACGTCAACGTGACCATTGATAGTCCAGGCGTGAGGAATATAAACAACGAATAAAAGGTCCTGAAGTCGGGACAATGCCACTACTTGCGTCAGATCGAATGTGAATATATATTTTTATTGAACTTCTATTTTATTATTCATTTACGGCACAATGAAACCAAATATTTATCAGATACATCGACCCACAGTACAGTACATGTTAGACATGAATTTGCACTCATTACTTTGATTTCAACATGACTATGCCAAAGTGCCATTTTATCATTAATTTTGTCATCGTGTAATAAACAAAACCTGTTGTATTGTACGATAGGATTAATTTCTTGTGTAAGGAAACAAAATGGAATTGCATTCAATTCAAAGATTTTTTCGATCTTCGATTTTCACCTTCGACGTTATCTTATACTGTAGTTATTTTTTCTTTAAAATATAAAGTCACAAAGGTTTACTTTTTTTTCAATCACACCCTGATTTCTATTAATTGTCACTGTGTAATAAGATTCAGTAAACAATACTGTAACGAATCAATTATCATATTGTGTATTTATATTACCTTAAAGAAACTGACTTGTCCACAAGTGAATTCTACGAGTACACACATACACACACACACACACACACACACACACATTTTGTATCGGTTACGTGTTACAATACTTATCATGAAATGAACGCGTTTGTTTGTACTATTCCTTTTAAAATTCCATAAAATAAAAAAAGAGAGACTTCAGTATGAGCTAACAATGTGACCTCATACTGTGACGTCACTGTGGTATCTCCGTGAGCTCAAATTTATGCCCATCATGAGCTTATTGTATAATAATAATAAGAATTAGATTTATTTATAGTCTAAAATCCATATAAAATTTCCAGTTAAGTTTACGGGGTAAAATGAACAGAGAGATTAATACATAAATTAATTAATCAATTAATCTTTAAGATAGTAAAATACAATGTAAAGAAAAAAAGCCAGTCAAATCAGCTATAAAATATTTTGAAAAAAAAATATTTTTTTGTTTTTATTTTTATGTTGTTATTTATTTGTTATTATTTATTTTTATTATTGTGTTCATTGTTTTAAGTATATTGGAAGAAAGTTCCATCCATTAGCCCATAGCCTTGAATAGTTTGATCGCCGTGTGTTTTCAATCCGGCATCACATGGCATCAACAAAAGCTGATCAAGTGGTCTACGTTTTGGAGCATAATGATGAACTAGTTTAAGTAGGTACGGGGATGTTCATTGTTTAAAAAAATGCTTGCATAACTCACTCAGTGACTGTGAGGTGACACCGTCGACTGGGTTTTGCGATACTTTCGTTTTCCATTCAAAGGCGTTTTGTTTTGTTCTTGGTCGGCAATTCCTTTGTTTAAAAATCGACTTTCTTTGTTGTGATTAGTTCAAAGATGGCCGGAAGGGTAGATTCATGTTGTGCGTGTTGTATCATCTTGTTAATCATAGCTCTAGCAGCATGCGGTCTGGGATTTGGGACACAGTGTCTGAACGCCGAGAAACGACTGGAGAACAAGGTATGTGAACGGTTTTGGTCACCACCAGAATATTACTTCTCAAAAATTAAGGTTTGACGAAGAACAAAAACTAAAAGTCTACACGTTTACACCTTTGGTAATAGATATGAGCAGTGATACTCACTGAAAATTCAGCACATAGGTACTCCGGTTCTTAATGCCCAAACTAAACAAAGATATAAGTGATATTTTCCATGGTTATTTTACTCTATTAAACCCGCTTACAATTCACGTGGCCGATAAGATGTAGATTATGGTAAGGAGTATAACTATCGATTTTCACTGCACCTTGCAAAGTTGCCTTACGTAAATTTCCGATAGGACGTCGTATAGGAAATTGCCAAAGGTACTATAAGGCAAGGGTTGCCGTAATTCTGAATTTTTTTGTTAAGATATAACGCACATTTTGCATTCTAAAAGTGCAATTCAAAAGCCCGCGCTTGAACATTTTTGTGTTATTTTTNTATAAGTCGCGCGTTTCCACCCCCTGATTGAGGGAGTCGTCTGTTGTATTCATACGACTCCTACTTGACGAAAACGAGGCGCGATACCCGGATGACAGGTAGGCTTACAGAATTTGTGATAGGGTATGATACTCTTTTATGCGATCTGACACACACCTTGAAAACGGGTAGTGTGGTCAGATATACCGGTTTATTCTGGACCCGTAGGTGCCGAGTCTGGTAGTTGGGAAGGCCTGAACAAAAGCTGATCAAGTGGTCTACGTTTGGGAGCATATTGATGTCACACACTAGTTTAAGTAGGTACGGGGATGTTCATTGATAAAAAAAATTGCCTGCATAACTCATTCAGTGACTGGGAGGTGACGCCGTCGACTGGGTTTTGCGATACTTTCGTTTTCCATTCAAAGGCGTTTTGTTTTGTTCTTGGTCGGTATTTCCTTTGTTTAAAAATCGACTTTCTTTGTTGTGATTAGTTCAAAGATGGCCGGAAGGGTAGATTCATGTTGTGCGTGTTGTATTATCTTGTTAATCATAGCTCTAGCAGCATGCGGTCTGGGATTTGGAACACAGTGTCTGAACGCCGAGAAACGACTGGAGAACAAGGTACGTGAACGGTTTTGGTCACCACCAGAATATTACTTCTCAAAAATTAAGGTTTGACGAAGAACAAAAACTACACGTTTACACCTTTGGTAATAGAAATGAGCAGTGATACTCACTGAAAATTCAGCACATAGGTACTCCGGTTCATAATGCCCAAACTAAACAAAGATATAAGTGATATTTTCCATGGTAATTTTACTCTATTAAACCCGCTTACAATTCACGTGGCCGATAAGATGTAGATTATGGTAAGGAGTATAAATATCGATTTCCACTGCACCTTGCAAAGTTGCCTTACGTAAATTTCCGATAGGACGTCGTATAGGAAATTGCCAAAGGTACTATAAGGCAAGGGTTGCCGTAATTCTGAATTTTTTTGTTAAGATATAACGCACATTTTGTATTCTAAAAGTGCAATTCAAAAGCCCGCTTGAACATTTTTGTGTTATTTTTGTAGGTGTGTCAGGGTGTTGTCAGCGATGGTGCCGCGATCGCCCTCGTTGTCTTCGGTGGACTGGCCACCATTCCTTTGTGGGGTTTATTCTGTTGGGCATACCACTTCAAAGCTGAAGACTCCCAGGAGACTTCATCCCGGGCAGAGGACCCACCAACTCACGCCGTTGTAGGTCAGATCTACGTAATTAGACACGTCGCCATTGAAAAAATAGGTGTTAGGAATACAAACAACGTATAGAAGGTTTTGCTATTGTACGTCGGATCGACTAATGCCATTGTACGTCGGATCGAGTGCGGATATTTTTCTTTGAGCAGAAAAAAGAAGGCAACAACCAAACTTGTTATATTGCTAGATATACTAGTAAATGACACCACATCAAAACAATGCGGTGTGTAAAAAGTTCAGGCTTTTAACTTAATGTGGGTGCCCTTTTTAGACTGCAATTCCATGTTTATGATGACTTTTATAGGTAAACACTTTCCTTAATGTGACTGTGCTTTATTTTTTTTACTGTGTGTGACACATTATCATTAATTTTGTCATCGTGTAATCAGCACAAAATGTCGTGTTGTTCAACAGGATTCATTTCTTGTGAGGAAATTAATCTCAAAAAGAATTTTTTTCAATCTTCAATGTTCACCTTCGGCATTGTCTAGTAGTTATTTCTTCTTTAAAATATAAAATTACAATGGTTAAGTTCAACAAAGGTTAATGATAAATGCACCATCAATGTATTTTTGTTATCCAATCATATCCCTATTTCTATTGTCAATGTACGAGCAGTTTTGAACGCCAAGAACTTTTTAAAGCCATCTGTCTGGTAAAATCCAAGGTCAATAAATAAACATATAAATAAATAAATAGAAGTTGAAATATAAAGATATTTAAATATATATGTACAATACATTATATAGGGGCAAAGAAAACAACCAAATCAGCTATAAACATTTGAAATAAATCAATAATATTTTAAATTGTCCTCAGACTCTATAGTTTTAAGCATATTGGAGGAAAGTTCCATTCATTTGGTCCACAGATTTTAAGTGATAGACCGCCGTATGTTTTCAATCTGCCATTACATGGCATCAGCAAAACCTGCTCAAGTGATCTAAAACTACTTATTGGAGCATAACGATAAGTTAGTTTTAGAAGGTAACGGGGTGTTGGTTGATAAAAAAATTGCATGCAAAGCTCACTGTGAAGTCACTGTGGTGTCACCGTCGGGTCACTATCTGAGCCCACCATGATTTCATTGTATGAGTTAACGGTTACCTCACTGTGATGTCACTCTTTCGACCGGGTTCTGCGATACTTTCTCTTTACATTCAAAGGAGTTGCATTTTGTCCTTGGCCCATATTTTCTTTGTATAAAACCCGCATTTCGTAGTTGTGATTTAATAGTTCAAATATGGTCGAAACGGACGATTCATTTGCAAACTGGTGTATAATCTTGGCATTCGTGGTTGTAGCAGCCTGTGGTGTGGGATTCGGAACAGAGTGTCTGCACGCCGAGGATCGACTGAGGAACAAGGTACGTGAACGGTGTTGATTACCACCATAATATTACTTCTCAAAAATCAAAGTTTGATGACTAAAAGAACAACAACTTAACAGTTTTGTCAATAAATCTGAGCAGTAACACGCACTGAAATTCAACATTTAGGTCTTCCGATTCAGATTGCCCAAACTAAGCAAACGGTAACGGGATGTTTTCCATAGTAACTTCACTCCTTTAAATCTGCATACAATTCACGTTAATAGATACTATGCATTTTGTTATGGCAAGGACTTCATCTATCTATTTTCACTGCAGTCTACTGTACCTTGGAAAGTTTCAAAACAAAACTTCACTGTAGGACGCCCTACAGGAAATTGACCAAAAGTTCTATAAGTTTTTATTGGAAATTGCCCGAGATAAGAAAAATCAGGACATCATATGTAGTTCTTATAGACTCTTATAGGAATTTTATAGTCCCGCCAGATTCTTAGGGCCCATTCAGATTGAGAAGAGCCGAATGCTAGTAAGGCCGCGACCTAAATATGCCGGACCTACATGAAAGGGAGACCGCTTAATCCTGTAATAGTCTTTCCGCCTCTCACACGCCTCCCCACTCGTTACTATCACTAGGCTCTTCTCAATCTGAATGGGCCCTTATAGAGTCCCATATAGATTCTATTCGGCACTATCGTAAGGGTCGCCGTAATTTCAAGGTTTTTTAAGCTAAGATATAACACACATTGTGCGCCTTTCAGCAGTTTATAGCACACTTACACCCCATTTCCATAGATTTTTAGATCGACCTATCCCTGTGGGGAGTCTCACTAGATTACTGTCAGATAATCCGGCTTAAATTTCGGTCCCGCCTACTACAAGCTGTAAGGGGTTAATTAACTATGGTGCCCGCTCGGCTGACTGCAAGTTAGCGTGAACCCCCAGAGAGTTAGGTCGATCTAAAACTTAATCTTTAGATCGATCTAAATCTCTGAGAAAGCACCCTTAGGCTTCGTTCACATGGAATGTCTATTTTCTAAATTCTATTTTCTATTCGCGGTATGTCTTATGATCACGGTCTGTGCCCTGAATATCCCGCGGCGTAATTACTGGCAGCGCGAGCCAGTTACTTATAGTAACTTATATTCAAAAGCCCATTTTTGTTTTATCTTTGTAGTCATGCCAGGGCGTTGTCAGCGATGGTGCCGCGATCGCCCTCATTGTCTTGGGTGGTCTGGCCATCCTCGTCTGCTTCTCTTTTATTTATGACATATGCTGCCGTGAGAAGGAATCTGAGGAGACTTCATCCCCTCCAGATTACAGCACCACTCACCGGACCCCTCCAACTATCACTGTCGAACGCCAGATCCATGTTACCGTTGTTAGACAATGAATAGACGGTTTTGATGTCTTAGCAATGTCACTATTCATTCGGATCGATATTTACCCTTGATCAGAAAAAAAAGGACGCAACGACCAAACTTGTAAAATTGTACTTCATCTGCGGCTGCATGAAACACAATGTTTATCATTTATATCGACTAGCCTCAGTATATGAATATGCAAACTTAACACTGATTTCAACACGGCTATTCAAAAGCGCGCCACCTGCCTTTATCATATGCTTACATTATTTTTATACCAGGAGTTTTAGAGACCATTCCCAGACCCTATCGTTCTAACTTTGGATCCGAGGGTACTCTCGCTTAATTTCAATTAACTTCGGCGGCTTAGATGTCAGTGGGCCAAAATTTAACCTGATGTACATGTACAGTACATGTACATTCAACGCACCTATTCTTATAATTTTGTGTTAAAAATGATGAAAATATGTAAAACCGTAACAAGATGTGATTGTACTTTTTAAGAGCAATTCCATATGTTTATAATGGATTGACACTTAACCTGATGTGAATGTGCTTTAATAATTAATTTTTTTGTGTCTGATATTTCATCATATCTATTACTATGTTTATTTAGAGGCGCAATTTCTTGTATGAGAGGAAACAAAATTCAATTTGAAGTAAGCTCAGAAAGATATCTTCAATCATTTTATTTTCAACATCGAAATTGTGAAATAATCGTTTCTTCTTTAAAAGATGAAGTCGTCATGGTTTGATTCACTAGATCTCGATTACAAATGCATAATCAATGTGTTCTTTTTTGGTGATGGTGGGGGGGGGGGTAATTCAATCGCACCCCTAGCTCGATTGACATTGTGCGAGTAGTTGCGAATATCAGAAATGGTCTCTAATGCACTATGAAAATCAGGGAGTAAAATTCAATGAAGGAGTTTACTTTCGCTTCCAACACCAATGTACCAGTATTTACCATTGTAACTCGCCTCGACTTCCAAGCTTTATTACTTCTCCATGCAGCAATGCACATTACGAGTGCAAATAAAAAGGATCGTAGATGGATTTATCGTAACGAAGTAACATTATAAAACAATAATTACTAATAAATAAATTAGGGTATTTTATTGTACTCAAACTATCATTGCGGGGTTTTTTATCACAGTCATCTCTTGTCACTGCAAGTTCATGTCTTCACTGAGGACGGCTACAGTCACCATGATACAGCAAATAAACCCACGAGTCTCAATCCTTCTTCCATTTCTATGCCCCATATAAGGAGACGAGGGAGAACAAGTTTGATCTTTTAGATCTAATATTAGCATGAGTCAAAGGACCCGTGTTGCGTTACCGCTTTCTGCATTCACCGCAGCTTATGTTGACGCAAGCTAAGATCGTTAACAAAAGAGAGACTGGGATACGCTTTACGCCTACCTGGGTACTTAGGAGGCCCAGGTCATGCTGAATAATAACCTGTGACGAAATATTTGCAGGGTCATTGACTCACGTTTCTTACTTCCGACCCCGCTGCACTCGGCGCTGTGTGTGAGAGATAAAGAGTGAGTGAGCGTCTGTGAGTGTATATAAAGTCGTGACAGCAGCACTGATTAACATACATTACATCTCTCTGTCTTGTTCATTACGTCCACTCGTTCGACAACAGGAACCATGAAGATACTGTTTTTCCTTGCGGTTGTTTTATTTGCCGGTAAGTGTTTTTGATGGGATAAGTTCAGAGATGCGCTTAAAGAAATTAAAACGTACTGCTATTAGAACTACAGGTCGTTCAGTAAATTTAAACTGTCATCGATATTTACGAATTATTTTCAAATGTCAGTGTTACCCCAAAGCCATGTTTTTTTTTTTCTTTGGGGGGGGGGCAGAAACTGTTATAGCGGTTAGATAGGATGTGCAAGTGCATGTACACCTTATTAATTACCTACTATTATGTACCTAGCTTTAAAGAAAAAAATAAGCAAACGGTGCGAAGAAATCCATATTTGTTCAAGATGTGTATTGTTTCACTAAATAGCTACATTATTCAACAACCTTCAACTGTATAAACAATTCACAGAATTGTCTGAAGAAAATTAAGTGCATTTTTCTCATCAGTGGGTGCAGATGGAGAAAACTAAAAAATTACGCAAGTTCAGTAATATTATAGAGGTAATTGAATACATTCATCTAAAAGAACAGTACAGTACAATAGGCATGAATGCGAACTGTGCGTTTTATCAATCCTAAGCCAGCAAATGCGGATCAGGATATTTTAACCAAATGTTATTCTCTCTCGTTCTGTCTCTCCAGGGCCGGTGCAGCGGTCTCAGGGCGTCGATCCAGGGGGCGATTTTTGTTATCAGCAGAAAGACAGATGTAGCCAGATGCTTCCCACCATGGACCTGTGGTTCAACTGGCCTACTTTCAATAACACGCAGCTCCGGGACTTTTGC